CGGGACCTATACATCAAGAACGGCCAGGGCTTCATCCTCGTCTACAGCCTCGTCAACCAGCAGAGCTTCCAGGATATCAAGCCCATGCGGGACCAGATCATCCGAGTGAAGCGGTGAGAGGGCCGGGGGCGGGCAGGGGGCTTCGCGATGCGGCCGGCAGCCGACGTCCCGGGGCCAGCACTCCCCAGTGCTCTGGGTGGCGGTGGGCAGGGGGAGCTGTCTAGGGAGATGGCTCTGGGGTCTCATGCTCTATAATAATATGTGGGGGTTTTGCCAGCATCACCACCACCATCATCTTGAATCTTAAATTTGAGTGCTTTGTTTCACAACTCAAATTTGGCATCCCGTGAACCCACAGCCCAGCTCTTTGTCTCTTGGATATTGTTAGTAGCAGTTGTACAGAAACCCAAAGGAAACAAAGTTTAAAACTTGCAGGGGGAGAAAAGGGTTGGGCAGGTCTGTACTGGGAAGAGGGGAGCTGTGCAAGCATAGTGGAGACGTTTTCAGATTGAGCAACAGCAAAAAATCTACCTTTGCAATATTTGACAGCAAAAATTGCTCACGCATATACGGCAAAAAATGTCAAGTCCAGAGGACAGAGACCTTTCTCATCTCTTAAAAGATCGAGTGGTGCCAAGGCGTTTTACAAAAATGAACTCTGCAATTAAGATGAAACTTTGAAGACGTTATTAAATTATTTGAAGACATCGTAACAGCTCAGTGAGATTCAGAGTTATTAGCATATAGGAGCACAAATATGCCATTCACGTTAAAGAATGTGGCTTAACTTTTTTGTTTTTAATCCAACTGCCTTACCCCCCCTAAGAAAGGAAAAGAAGAAAGAAAGAAAAGGAAGTGAAAAAAGCATTCCTAGAAACAAAACAGAAGTTTCTTCAAAGGTGTAACTCAAGTATTAGCTAATTTAAAGTTAATGCAAGTAAGCTTTTTCCTGATATGAACTCTTTTTTTAAGCATGCATTTTGAAAATACGGTTGGTAGCTTAAATGGTTTCGAGTATTTGTTTTCTCTTATGTTTATTTCCTAGAATTTCCAGCATCAGAAAGATAATAATATCTTAGTTCAAGGTTTTAGCAAATTTTTCTAATTACTAGTTACACATTATTATTTTGTCTGATTCTTATTAATAATTGCTAATAATTTTGATTTAGTGTAATTTTTTTCCCTACTTAATTCTAGCTGTAGCTCCACATTTGAAGACACTTACTGAAAGGTAGTTGTAAGTATACTGTAGGTATAATCACATTTCAAGTCAGTCTGGAAGAGCAAAGCCCAAGTCACGTGTGTTCAGTGGGTACTCAAAAATTCATTACAAGACGTGGATTTTTAATGCAACATAAGAAATCACAGGGGATTTTTAATGCAACATATGTCCCCATCCCCCTGTTAACTCATTGCACATGCACTTTAATAGCTAAACTAAAATTTTGTATATTAGTTTCTTGTGTTAAATTTCAAACTTTTGAATAAAGTGAATATTTTCATGGCTCCTCTTGCTATTCTAAAATCTTCAAATCTGATAGCTTTTTACTTCTCCAGTCTCATTTTCTTAGAGTTAATTGCTATAGGAAACAAATGAACAGTTTTGGTGCTAAATTTAATAGGTGTCTGACTCTTAAGGGGCTACGTTGAAGTGACTCAAATCCTGAATTAATACTTCCCCCATACTACTAAAAACAACAACAACAATACAGAACAGGGCAGTCTGATACATTGTCACATGGCAATCTTAAGCCATAAACATATGTCAAATAGTAAAGTAAATGCCCCAACTGCTCCATATTTAAATGTATACTACTGTATACATTTAAACGTATACATATAACTCAGACATTGATAAAGTCACATACAAAGGACAAACTTCTTGACAAAAGCCTAGGAGACAGAATATGGTAAAATATCCTTAGTTTAGTCCACGTAATTTTGTAGTTTCTTACGATTTAGTGGAGATTACTAATAGCAGGCTAGTCTAAATTTGGTATACATACTGAACAATTTATTTGTTTGCCTATGAAAAGAGGAAAATTCTACTTGCCCAGATGTCTTTTTACTCACTAGTCTCAGTTCTTGATGTAAAAAGACCAGGGATCAGCTGAAGTAGAGTTCATAAACTCTTTTCACTGGCATTCGTCCGTTGTATCTGTGAGGGCCCCGTGGACCCTTCTGTGTCCTCACGTTTTATACCTCATCCTAACTTTATCATCTGGCCCCCCAGCCTAGAACATATTCTAAATAACTTATATAGAAAGAAAGAATCTGTGTATATTATATATATTTCAGTACAGTGTATAATGCATATACTACGCTAAAGCAGGCATTAAATGTGCTAGTTATTTAACTCTTCCCACTTAAAGAGAATAAAATATGATTTTCAAATAAGTGAACTTTCTACTCATTTGGGAAATCCATTTTTAAATTAACTAGTTGTTATAGGAAGTATTCAGTAAGTGTTCCCTCCCTTCTGCCCACTAGCTGCTTTACATAATTACATACAACAGTTGTTTGGGGATATTTAATACCACCATAATGCCAGTGACAAAGGTGAAGTGCAGAGATGTTGGATCTTTTACCCAAGACTAGTCATTGATGGAGGGATTTAAACCGAGTTCTGTTAGAATCCATATACTCTTTTCTTCTATACCGGGCTGCCTTTGAACTTGTTGTTTACTGACAAATTCAGTATCCAGCTTTTGGTCTGGGCTGGCACCGTTCAATACAAGTATAATGTGAGCCACACATGTAATTTAAAAATTTCTAGTAGCTTATTTTTTTTAAAGTACAGCAGATAAAATTAATCTTAATAATGCATTTTATTTAACACACTATGTAAAATATTGCCATTTTAACATGTAATCAATATTCAAAAATTGAGAAATCTTACTTTTTATGCTAAATTTTTGAAATCTGGTGTGTAATTTACACTCACAGCACATCTTCATTCAGACTAGCCATATTTCAGGTGCTTAGTAGCCACATGTGGCTGCAGGCTACCATACTGACAACACAGGTGTAAGGTGTATATATTGTAGGGAAACAATAAGCCTCGGTTTTCTTATCTGTGAGATAGATGCGCCTTTCAAAGTCTTTATTAGGATTAAATGAGATAACCCATTTTCAGGTGTCTAGCACAATACCTTGAACAGAGAAATCACTCCAAAATTCCACCTGTTCTTTTATTAATAACGTTGTCACCCAACCTTCTTTAAATTTTATCCTTGATATAAATGTAATTTTAGAGGAAATAAATTGTGAGTGCATTTTGAAATTCATTACCTGGTGTAGACAAGATGAGAACAAAAAGCAATGGGGATTAAAACAACACCTTGAAAAAATTTTGTTGGTATATTCTCAAAATATTTTCCCTTATTAATGGTTTTATGGGAAAGGGGAAGAGAATGAAGATTTAACTTCAAGTGTAGCACCAATTCATGGCCAGATAGTGAAATAGAGCTTTTTATTGGACTGTCCTTGTATGGAGTATTGGGCTTTTAGAAAATGTCAAACAAGCCTGTACTGCCTTAAGTGTTGACAGGTGCAGAGACATTCATATCCATACACTACCTCCTGTCCGAGCCAAGGGGACCAACTAAAAAATGGCAGTATTTATAAATTCACGTGCTTTCCTTTTTTGACCTGAGTTCCCTTTTTTGACATGACTTCAGATGAGAACACACACTCCAGGAAGTGTGATAGGGATACAGAAGATGTTTCAATTGAAATAAAACTGGTAGAATTTTTTCTGATTTCACGTTGCTTTTCCCATGCCTCCTAGGGTAAGCCGTCGTCCTGACTTGAAGTATCTTGGAACATGCTGTCCCAGGCCTGTTGTTCTTAGAATAAAGCCCAGGAATCCTCACATGATCTTCCCAGGTGCAGTGTGCTCCTGCCCATCCCTGCCTTTCCGGCCTCACCTTGTGCAGTCTTCCTTGTCCCTTAGCTCTCAGCACCCACACCTTCTTTTAGTTCCTTGGAAGTGCTTGCCTGGGCTTCCCTTCTACATGTAGCAATCATTTACCTTGTGCAGTTAATTCCTACTCACTTTCACCCTTACTTAAAAGATTTCTTCCTCCTCAGGGAAGCCTTCTTCGTCTTCCCAAACTGAGTTAACTCCTTCACACACAAGGTTAACCTCATGCCTCACTCCTTCCCTGAGCCGTCATACTTCAGACATAAGTGGCATGCTGTACTCCCTCTTCTCGTAGCACTCACCGAAGTCTAGCTATTTGTGTGATAATAGACATGCAATCAGTCTTTCTCATTAAACTCTCATTCTGTGTGGCCAGTGCAGCTCCTGGCACAGAGGAAACACTCAGGAAAAATGTATTGGAAAAAAACAGTATTTGGAAATAAAAGTGTTTTTATTGTCCTTTGGCTTCAGTTTCTCTAGACAGTTTTTTTTTTTTTGTTTTGTTTAGTTTTATTTATTTTTATTTTGAGAGAGAGAGAGAAAGAGGGCATACAGGGGAGGGGCAGGGAGAGGGAGAAAATCCCAAGGGAGAGAGAGGGCTCCCACACTGTGAGCAGAGAGCCTAACACGGGGCTCAAACTCACAAACTGTGAGATCATGACCTGAGCTGAAATCAAGAGTCGGACGCTTAACCAATTGAGCCACCCAGGCGCCCCTCCCCAAACATTTTGCTTTTATAGATGGAGGAGATGATTCTTCGAAGTCCATTTTACAGATGAAGTAGATGATCTCCCTTCAGCTCTAATATTCTGTGACGGCACTTGTATCTAGTTAGGGTGACACGGAAAGGGTGAAGTTTAATAAGAACCTTGAAGAATCAGGAGGACAGAGTCTTGCGGAAGTGGCATGTGAAATGCATAGAATATGTTTACTGGCTGTTAAATAGACTAAATTGGCTAAACTAGGAATTCATATAGAAGTGTGAAAGGAGGTAAGGCTAAAAAAATGTAAAGCTAAGTTACAGAAGATTGAAGACTTTGGACTTGATCTTGTAGTGAAGGACCATGGTCAAAATTGGTATAAAAAATGGTAACATGGAGGTGATGTGATTGACCGCTTAGTGGCAATAGACCAGAGTCAGAAGGAATAGTCGTGCAATATTGTGATAATCTAGTTTCTGTGCCAAGT